ATTATGCAGTTGTGATTTGATGAAGTTATTATTTTTTTTATTTAGAGTAAATATTAAATATGTTTATTTTTATTTTTGCTAAAATGAAAAATAAAAAACATGTTTAATAGTATATACGTGTTTCAAATTTTTATTTTAAAAATAAGTAAGAAGTAGTAATTGGAGGTGGTGATAACTTAAGGTGGTTAATTATTGACAATTAGAAATGACAACTAAAAATAATTGTTGACGAAAGGTAGTGGTAGATGGTGACTGATGGCCAAAGATAGTTACCGACCATAGGAAATGATTGTCAAAGAAGATAGTGGCTGGAGGTCTTCGGGACAAAGGTCCCGTTTGGTAGAGTTGTGGAAAAGTGATTATAACTTACAGTTGTGAACATAAGTTGATTTTTAACTTATAAATTAAGTTTCTCCTCCTTCACTTAAAGAATAAGTTGATTTTTGACTTATAAAAAGTTATAAGCTGTATTGTTAAGTTGAACCAAACACATTAAAATAACTTAAATTAAACTAAAAGCTGAAATAAATTAGAAATAAGCCCTACCGAATAATGCCAAAGGTTGAAAGAGATTGTGATGACAATAGGCAGAGGTGAGGGTGGCCAGATGTGATGGCCATTAGTGGTACTAAGCCGTGGATAGTGGGAGGGAATTAAAAGTCGGGCCGGTTTTGGGGGCAAGCCCACAAAGCAGCGGCTTTGGGCCCCCAAAAAGACTAAAAATAGGGCTTAAAAAACCATAGTCTTATACTTGTCCATTTAAAAAGGTCCAACTCAAAATTATAGTTAAAAGTAGTAAATGAATAAAAGGCCCAATCTAAACAAAATGAATGAAAGGCCCAATTTAAAATATAAATTCAAAAGAAAGATCCACTTGAAATACAAAGCCCAAATTAAATTAAAAGATCCAAAAAAAACTTGAGGCCTATTCTAATTTTTTTTAAAACTTAAATAAAGTGAAAATAATTTGAGGCCCAACAATCTATTGTTGCCGTTCCTCATTCCTTTTATGCGTTGCCTCTTTTTGCCAACAACTTCGACTCTCCACCGTCATCATAGGCCTTCACCGGCGGTTGCCCTTCTCACCGCCAGATCTTCCAAATATTTGATGAGTTCGATTCTTGTCTCTGATTTCGAACAATGAATCAATCATCTCAAAAAACTGTCAATTACCTCACTTTACCCTCTCAATTCCTTCCTATAATTATATATATACATATATATATATATATATATTTTTTTTTTTGGTATTGGTTTTGTAGATTATGTGGTTGATTCTGATTCATAATGAATTTCTTTTTGTCAATTATGTTCTATGAATTGCTTTAGATTTCACCATCTGGTTCTTACATTTTTTCAAAAATTAGTTTGTCGAAGGAAAAAAAAAATCATTTTGGTCCTTTTTGTTATCATAAACTTTGTTATATATTTAAGCAAAATTTGATAGGCCTTTTTTTGAGTATTTTTTTTTTAATAAAAAAATATGGATGAAAGGCCCCATATTTAGGGTGTTTGGTTTGTGTTTTGAGATAGATTTTCAAAAAAAAATTTAAAGAGAAAGTTTAGAATTTTTTTTGATTTGTTTGGTTGTATGTTTTGAAAATAGTTTTGGAGTTTGGAATAATTTGATATTTTGTTGTAGTTGAATAGATGTGTAGTTTTGGAGTTTGGGATGATTTAATATTTTGCTATAGTTGAGTAGATGTGTGTGTGAGAGAAAAAGTGATTGAGAAGAAGAGATGAGAGAGAAAAAATGATTGATTAATGTGTAGCAGAGAGAGAAGGAATTTTGAAATTTTTTTGACAAAATTTGAAACCAAACGTACTTTTGGAAATTTTCTTCTAAAAATATATTTCAAAACACAAATCAAATACTGTTTGCTTTGGGGGTGATTATTCAGCACTCTCAGAATATGAACACGTGGTGGTCCATAAGGTTTTGATTGGTGGAGAAACACAAAGGCCCACGATTTATGTTGGGGATGGGGAACAACATAGGGGTTAACTAATTGGTGATTGGCTTGGAGTATGGACACGTGATGCTCTAGAAATATTGAATAATTTCCCTTGCTTTGGATCCTAAAAATCTCAGAACTGGTACTGATTAAAAGAGGGAGGAAAGGATGAACATTTATTTTCTAAACACATGAAACCAACTCTTTTGCATGACTCTGCATTTAAATGACAAGAAAACTTTATGATTGTAATGTAATCAAATATTAGGTTTGAGAAAAAAATTGTTAAAAGAAAGAAAGAGTAATAAAATTTTAATTTATATTTTATTAATATTTCCATTCACTTCTGCTTTCTCTCAACAAATATATATTCAAATCCGACCTCAAAACTCAACCTAATGATTTTCTTTCATGAAAACCTGTTAGCAACATGTGAAATTGAGAACAATGGTTGACCCACTATTGCTGAAGAAATTATACATTTTAAAACAATATATTTGTAGTCAGAACAAACGTTGAGTCTTCGTATTCATATTCAAAATGATGAAAGTTATTAAAGCCAATGTCACATATTAGGTAGACAAGAACAAATTTAGGATTATTATTATGGGGTGCAAAAGTATATTTGGGGTATAAATTCTTATAATTAAAATTATTTTAAAATTTTTATTATAATATATGATATTTTTTAATTTTTTGAGAGTGCGGTTGCCCATGTTAAAAACACAAAAATAAAAATAAAAACAGCATAACATTGGGCCTAAAAGTTGTACTCTAAAATAGATTTCAAAATTGACAGCATGCTTGGTTAGAATTTTCCAAAAACTCTTTTCAGAAAATTCTATTTTTTTATTTTTCGTGTTCTTTTGTTTTTACTGAATTTTTTAATATTTTAAGCAATTTTTTTTACTTTTTAGACATACCTAACATAAATATACCTAAAAAGTAAAAAAATTGTGAAAGAAACCTTTTAAAAATTCACTAAATACCAAAAATACAAAAAAAAAAAACAGAATTTAGTACATTTTTTATATTTTTATGTATTTATTAATTTTAAAAAATATTTTTTCACAAATTTTTTACTTTTTAGATACATCTAAATAAGGTGCATCTAAAAAAGTAACAAAAATGTTTAAAATTTTAAAAATATTCACTAAAAAGTAAAATTACAAAAATTAAAATATTTAGTTTTCAAAAAACTTAATTTAAAAAACTCAAACCAAACACATACAATCTCAAGCTCGTCAAAAAATAAGTCTTACCAAAATAATAAAATATTGTAGTTATGTTGACACAAACATTTAATTTTTGTATATTATATAATTTAGTTCAAAGATTGGACGGTATATTTTCCCTCTTAAGATTATTTTTTATTTTAAACAAAAATTTAAAATATTTATAGAGAAAAGTGCATTTCAATGGCAATAACTAAAAATAATTATATTTTTATTGAAGATCAAGTGAGCTTGAAAATTACGGCATATGATATAGCTCTCGCTTGCTTTAACTTGTATTTTTATAAAAATGCATTTTTTTTTTTTTTAAGTTATACTCATTTAAATTAGGGGTGAGCATGGTTCGGATTGGACCGGATTGGAATAAAATCAGGACCAATCCGTTATCTACGGTTCCTGAAAAATTGGAACCAATCCAATCCGTTGAAATCATGGAACCAATCCGAACCAATCTATTTAAATACGGATTTTATCGGTTTAGGATCACGGATTCACATAATTAAATAATAAAAATATATAAATATAACACTTTAATTTCATAAAAATATAAACATAGTGCTATATTAGTTCTACAATAGCAACATCTATTTCTATAATAGCGACATACTGTTCTAGAATTTAAACAACCATAAGAAAACTGGTTTCACCATAAGTATTTAGACCATTACAAATTAAAACTAAAAACTAACAAACAAAAGTAATAAAAGAAGATATTATACGGTTTTAGATTTGAGTTTAGATTTTATATAAAATAAGAGAAGATATTATGGGGGAGGATGTATAATAAAAATATATACTATTTGTATACGGTCCGGATCGGTTCCAATTCGGAACCGTAGGGTTCAATCCGGAACCAATCCATGTACTACGGATTTTTAATTTTTCAATCCGGAACCGAACCGCGGATTCAAAAAACCAATTCAAACCTATCGGATTGGACTGGACTGGATCGGATTACGGATTTCACGAATTCCTTGCTCAGCCCTAATTTAAATGTAATTTTCTCATAATTATGTATGTACATACTGAATTAGCCCAGAATAAACTCTAAAAATTTGACCCATTTAGAAAATGGGCCAAAAGGTCTAATCCAGTTCGGTTTTGTGAACACGAAAATTTGAGTTAAGCTAGTCAGGCGGGCTGTGAGAGGCCCACCCTACATGCTCATATTGAAAGTTTCGCAGTTTAGTCAGTAGAGAAAAAATTAAAAAAAAAAAAAAATTGTAAACACAAAAATCAGTCACACAACCAGATATAGAACATATATAGACCAAAACCATTTTTCAACTAAAAACTTTTTTTGAAAATATTTTTTTTAAATAAAATATTTTTTATTTTATTTTTTTGGATTATTAAAACAAATGTACTAATAAATGTATTAGTAGTGATGGTATAGTGGCTATGGAGGCAAAGACAGAGATGTTGGTGGTGAAGGTGATGTTGATAATGGTGGTAGTGCTGGTATGGCGACATTAATAAAATTTTAATCTAAAAAATATTTTTTATCTTTTAAAAGTAAGAAATATTTCTACTTAAATAGTATTTTTTTTTTTTTGTTGACCATAGAAAATATTTTTCGTTAACCGTCGTTTTCATTCTACCAAATGCCAAAAAATGCATAATAACATTTTTTTTCCCTAACAAATAGGGCGTAACAAATCTCTTAAAATCGTGTCCATTCATGTATATTCCGTGTTCAATTTTGTAATAAATTTTATGTATTTTTTTTCAAAAAATTGCCTATAAGATTTATATTTGTAATTATGATAAAAGCACATATGCTTCTTTTTGCAGGAAGGGACTCCCCAAATGTTTAACCACACACCATACTCATTCACACTGGAATACACTAGAGAGAACATCAATAATGCATCACAATATTAACATACATTTTATTTTTTGTTTTTATTTTTCATCTTTCTCATTCGATAAGCAACACGTTGGTGTGAAATCACGACACCTTTTTAAAACAAAATCATTTTATTGGGCACTTCTAACTCTACGGTTCTTCCAGCTTCTGTGTGCTAAATTTAACATTCACCAATTGAGCAGCTGCACGGGCAACAGCTGTGGCACGCTCTGCAGCCGCAATAGCAGCTTGAGCTCTCTCCAATGTATTAGATGATTGTGATCTCACCTCATTTCCTAAATCTCTAACAGGTGTCGCATTGTCATTCTTATTTGATGATTTAGCTCCATCATGACCGAACATGGATGTGAAGTTGCCAGGGCTTGGAGATTGATGCCGGTCAAGCCCTTCTTTCGTTTGTGCAGACACCATAGGATGTGCTTCATTAGATCGCGAATGTTCATTAGGGTCTTGTTTGGAAGGAGCTTGAGTTAGTGCAGCGCCACTGTATACTTGCTTTGGTCCGTTCTACAGATAACATGAAAAAGCAAATCGTTGAATATAATGGTAGCAGAAATATCAAAGCCGACATGGACAGCTATTTTATTTATTTTTATTTTTTGTTGATAAGTTTATTTATTTTTATTTTTTGTTGATAAGTTTTCCATTGTTAATAAGGGTAGTGATGAGTAGATAGACAAGCTTCTATCCCGTAACATATCTCACCTAAGATTAGGGCTGTTTCAAAAACCGGTGTAACAGTTGGAGACCAACCGAAATTTTGATTTGCAAGTTTTTCACAAGGTACGATCTGTTTCAAATTGAAAAATTTTACACCCACACCGAACGAACTGACCTAAATATTATATTTAAATACTATTCATACTTTCATTTTTTGAAAATTAGAAGATGAGTGACCAATCCTACATGTTTTCCAAAGAAGATTAAAAAGGGAGGCATTTATAGAGCAACCCCCACCATCTCTCTTTATTTACTCCTTATGTAATTCTACAGGTTTCTATAAAACACTTAGAAGCCTCCTGTGGATTCCTCTTTTATACTAAACCGAAAAACTGACAAAAACTATCAGTAGCATGTGGTCAGTTTGGTTTCTCAACCAATGGTGCTAAATTTTACCCCATCCAAACTAAACTGATTACACTCCTACCAAAGATATCTAGTTTCAACATAGTATTTGACTTAAAGATTTTTTCATTTCAAAATGGTGACATGAGATTCACTAAAAGCTTATCATAAAACGTGACACATTTTCTAAGCAAGACGTCTTGTGTGTCTCCCACCCCTAAACCAAGTCATGTTTGCAATCTCAATACAAGCAACCAGTGAAGAATCAAATAACAATTATGGCAAAAGAAGTATCAATTTAAATTAAAGGAAAAAATAAAATCAAACATCATGTACCAGCAGATCCTCGGGCTTTTTACTAAATTCTGCTTCAGTTTTGGACCAATCCCACATCACATTGTACTCTTTTGCGATATCCCTCAATACCTTGAGCTTTAATTCAGCAGATGGAGCACTGACTGAAAGTTTCTCAATTACCTGCAGAAATAACAGAAAAGATTCAAAAAGATGAAATCATTGTGACCAATTCAAAGTAGTCACTGCACCAGAATGCAAAAGATATTAGAGCTGATTAACTGTACGGTTAACACTTGTATCAGGACGAAGCTCAGTCGCAGCTGAAATGTGATATGAACTCTTTCCCATATTTTGCAGCAAATAAATTCCTCACATGCAACAAATCTGGCAAATCTGAGCATCTGGGTGCTGCAAAGATTATGCTTGCAACGGCTTCACACAATTCTGATGGGCACTCCCTGTTATGTAAAATGATATATGATCACAAAATTGTGTCACATGCATAAATCTTACAACAGTAAGTGCATTTTCAGGCATTTCAAGGTATGACTTCACATTACAATGTCCCTTCTCATGAAGAATCTAATCATCAAATATTGCCTTACATGGAGATCTCCTTCAAATCATAAAAGTTAATCAAAAGAACAAAATTTGGATTCTAGAATGCAGTCTGTGATGATCATTTTCTCATCACAACCCCCAAAAAAGAAAAAATAATAGTAGAGAAAGAAAGAAAAACTACTCTGGATGTTATTCGGAGATGATTAGAAGGGGAAGTTGCTGATGTACCAAACTTCTTGTTGGGTTCAACTAAGGCCAATGATGTTATTGTGCATTTAGCATGTGACAGCCCATTATTTACCGTGCAGTTCCAAATAGACAGTGTCTCGAAACAACTACAAATTTCCCATGTGGCTATTTGAAGCAAGATTTTTAACTTTGAATATTCAGAGTAGCTTTTGCTAGGCCCTTCCATGAAGAGAATCCTCTTGGAAGAGTGAAACATACTTAAAGATAGAGAGAGACAGTTAAAGAAAAAACAGAAAGAAAGTATCGAGTTGTCTCTTTGGCTAACTTCCATATAATAAAAACTCGTTTCTGTGCAAACATGCGATTTTCTTCCATTAATATCAAGAAAGTTTGTTCTTTCTTTCATCCCACCTCATCTTTTGTCAGCATTAAGTTTTGCATTGGAAAAAGTTTGGCTCTTCAAGCATGACTGAATTCCAACATTGAAAAAACAGTGGAGGCAAGCACCATATCTTGAATTCATGATGTACGACTTTTGAGATTAGTTTGAAGAAACTATGGGAAATAAAACAGAACTTAGAATACATGCTGAAGTAGTACGGCATATACTAACAAAAGAAGCTAGACAAATCAACTGGCACCAAAAGACAATTCTTAAATAAACCTAAAAGACCTAATAGAGAAAGATTGCTTTCCAGCATTGAGCTTCGGTTGGCTTGAACATAACAGACTTCATTACCACTTTCCACCCACTTGTGTGTGCATTCTCTTTGCTAGAACCTTGCAAAATTAGCAACAAAAATATCAAGTTGACACATTCATCTATCATGGTAACTTGATCCGAAGTTTATCATGTTTCCTTGGCGATAATTCTTAAAATGATTCATTGCCATGAAGCTCAAGGATCATACCAAGTCAGGAAACAGTAATTATGAGTCAAAGTTAATGTCTAGGAGACCAAAATAAAGGTGACAATGAATGGTGATTTGTCACCTATGACTACTCTTAAAACACTGCATCCTAAGTATCATCATATTCTTAAATTGCAAGATCTACTCTTACGAAATGTACATATGAATTCTAAAAGTATTTGTTGAGCTAACTTGAAACAAACTAATGATAATTGGTGAATTGTAGTTGAATGGCTCAGAAGCAACTGATTAATCATGAATCTCGCTTCGATCACCTTAATTCTCTTAAACAATACCACCAAATAACACTTATGCACAAAGATAAGTCAGATACTAAAGTATTTTTGTAGAGTTTAAATCTTTGTGTACCCAATTTGGTATTTGGTAATGGGTTGTGGTTGCATCACAACAGAAACGTCTCAGAGTGAATAAAACTGAGGTTGCATCATAGAAGATTAGAATACCATGGTATACATATTTTCAAGCAAGGAGGTTGTAGCAAACCGGCTTCCTTGTTGCACTAAATCTTGTCTTGTTGGCAGACCAAACAAGTCTTGACATACATCTTGACATCATCTTCCATCTTGGACCAAACATTCGCTTACGTTTGAGATTTTTACAATAAGTGATGCGTGTGCATAAATTGGCTTTCCAATTTTCATTTGAGCCAAAATGGCTGTGGGAAAGTGTTTTAGTTTTACATTTGAAGGGAAAAAGTATAAGAAAGAATTCAAAAAAGTTAATTCAATGTCAAGAGTTAAAAGGAACAAATATGGTTAAATATAGACCCACATGGTGCGCAAGAGGCATGAGTGAACGAACTCATATTTACATATACACACATTTACATTATGTACATAATACTAATTTGTGTGTGCATGCCTCATGAGGCATCTTTATTCTTCTAATGATAAGATCATATCCATTAATCATGACAAAAAAAATAAAGATCATCAAAATCAATAATTAGATGGAATCAAGATTCATGGCGATTGAAATAGGGAAATCTGAATGGTTAGTCTTGCAAAACAAAATAATTGAAATTTGTGGGGATGTAACGTAAAAAGTCACATCTTATCTTATCACTAAAGGATGTACCTATAAGAAAGATACATAAATAGATGTGATCTAAACTGTTGACTTATGAAGAGGCATGATCTAACAGTCACAATTCAAATGGCAGTGGTAGTTAGAAGTACTCTTTTGGAAACACAACAAAACAGAATAGAAGTATTAGCAAGAGATTTGAAGTGCTCTCCCTCCAACAATTTCAAATTTCAGCATTTGAAACCCTTTTCATTTGGACTTAGAATCCTCTCTCCTCTCCCCCTCTCCCTCTTATCTTTGTCAAATCTCATAATTATTCTGTTTGTCATAAAAAGCAGAAACTCGTGCTTTTATCAAACTTATAAAATAAAAAAGAGTTGTTTGGTAATTTCTTTTTATTAGAGCAAGACATAGTTGAAGCCAATTTCCTAAAACCAGTTTGTGCACTAATTTTAACAAAATCGGCGGAGGTGGATTACATCTTAAAGAAAGCCACATTATTTGTTGGAGTAATGTTGAAGTCACTTCCTTCTACATTGAAGTCTTCAATCATCACAACAAATAATGTATTCTTACCAACTTCATGAAGATGGTTAAGAAGATGGTAATTCTTGCTACATCACAAGCAATACTCAAACCAAAGAAAAATGAAATGTAAGGAATTTGTTTAAAATGGAGATGTCATTTAAATTGCATAGAGTATAACTAACTAAATATAAGAATTGGGCTTGAATATGAAATTGTGATATTTCATAGCCGCCTAAAAACTAACATAAGTTAGTGGCATACACTACAATGCTGAATTACAACAGAAATACAAGATGCCTTACAAAAGTATTCCTCAAATTGCTTAAAAACATAATATAGAAATATAAAACAAGATCAAAAAACCATTTTATGTGCTCAGGTGGCTATTTCATAAAAGGAATACAAGCAAGCAAATACTGACTTTTAAAGATTGTTTGTAACAAATGTTCTGAGATATATTGAGGCCCAAGGTAGAGCAAGCATATCAAAAAAATTCTTTGATATTAAAATCAGGTGTATCGATTAATTGAATTACCTCTGGCTTTCAAGAATGGGAACACGTACAAGAACGAATTCACAGAACATCTCCAAGATTTCATATGCAGCCCATATGTTTTGTTCTCGTATAATATGCTCCACCTAAAAACATATACACATAATGAGTAAGATAGCAATTATACAATTTGGAAAGTGAAATAAATAAGAGTGAATCGAAAATGCACTCGGATTCGAGCTATGGTTTCTTGGCCAGCCTGCAGAAACTGGGCTATCTCTTTGCGCATAAGTTTGAGCTGCCCGTCTCTCTTGTTTTGCAGCAATTTCATGCGTGAGATTGCCAAGTTCAAGCATGTTTTACTACAAAACAAGTCACCAAAATAAAAATTTTCAGCAGAGAAAAAAATAAACTTTTATAAATTCATTCAACTGTGAAACTGACCAATACAAAATTAACATGAATAGCAACAATCATGTTAAAAATCATGACTTTATTACAAGAAACAGCATAGTTGCAACTATAGAAAATCTACAAATATAAGAGACAGAAAAAGCAATTGGGTACAAGAAATTCAGCACAGTGCATCTGCTTAGCTTACAATTAATCAAAACGTAAATGGGTATATACAGAATTTTCTAAAAATCAAGAACAACAATTGAAATTATAATCACACTAGGAATTCAATGTTAGGTATGAGCTGACAAAAGCAAATTAGATGAAATAAAAGGAAAATTAACAAACCAAACATAGAGATCTTCTCCATCAATTACAGTGAAGTAAATGGAATTGAGATCTGAATCAGAAAGGGGAATTGGGTCTCTTATAGCAGAGGAAGATTAAACTGACCATTTTGCGCCAAGGAGGCCTCTGTTGAAGAGTTGATTCAAAAGCGACATTGAAGCCTGAACCAAGACGATCGATAAAGCTTTGATTGATGGTTGATAGCAGATTGATCGATCAATCCCATAAAACCAATGTGGGTTTTTCTTCTAGTTACAGATACATACAGAACCAAACCAACCACCCTTCCTTTTTGCACAACACATTTACATATACTATATATATGTATAACACACATTATAAGTCAACAAATCAGAGTGGCGCAGCGGAAGCGTGGTGGGCCCATAACCCACAGGTCCCAGGATCGAAACCTGGCTCTGATAATACAAGAGTAGCTTCCAAAGTCACTATCTTTTTTGCTATGCCACCAAACAGCCCTTTTATTCTTTTTCTTCCCACCAAACAAACAGCCCTTTTATTCTTTTTCTTCCCCACCAAACAGCATATATTTATGACTTCCTAGGTTCCAAAGTCACTATTTTTTTTACCTTCTAAATTTATGATTTCCAAGCTTCCAAAGTCACTTTTTTTTTTTTTTTTTTTTTTTTTTTTTTGGGGCTTTTTTTTTCCTTTCTTTCTTTTTTTGTGGCTTTATCTGTGGTTTTCTCCCGACCAAACATCCTTTTCTCTAATTCTCACATTTTCTCCACTACCAAACAGCATAATTTTTCGACTTCCCATCATTGAGAGTCTGTTTGAGTGCTATATAATATTTTGCTCTAAAATAATTACATCTCATTTTGTCTCGCAAATTTTCATAATAACTGAGTAGGTAGTGAAAGAGTATGTGGATCAATGTTTTCTTTCTCTCAGTACATTATAAGGTTAATAGGAATTAATGAAAAGAGTAGGCTCAGCTTGTCTCAGATTATACATTCTGTTTCATTTGGCTTTGTTGTCATTCTTAGGCTTAAATGGGGCAAGGTTCATTTTTGTTAGTGGGATAATAAGAAAACGTGGTACAATTTTTTTAGGGTGAACTTAGATTAATAACAAATTAAGGGGGTGTTTGGCGTGTCTGAAAATAATATTATTTTATTTGGGTCACAATCATCTTATTTGAAAGAATTTTTTTAAGAAACATATGAAATAAGTCTTATTTTTTTTAAAAAAAATTTCCAATGAGTCCATTAACACTATGTTGAAAGGGTTGATTTATTGAATATTTTATAATATTTTTGGCTTTTGGCACATTTGCAATGATTTTTTTTTTAATATTTTTTTCTCTTTTTGGATCTCAGGAGGATGAATAATTTTTTTCTGATGAATGAAGGGTATTTCTTTTTAGGCCTTGACCAAATAGAGTTTGAACCTGGAACCTGGAACCTTTAAATTAGAGGCCTAAAACGACCACAGTCGCTTTATATATGAGCCGGCCCAGATAGCAAACCTCATGAACGGCTTTCATTATGCATTTCTCTTTCCTTTTCTGTATTTCCATCTTTTCTCAGAGCCTTAGTTGGGGAGTGGATAAACTGAAAGTTTGCGGAAAAATAATTTGTTTTGAAAAATACTTTTCAAAGAAACACCACCTGATTACACAATTCAAAATACCTTCTCTAAGTGAGTTGTTGATAATACCTCACCAAGTGATCCAAGTGTCTCGCCTCCAAAGTGATTCACCTTGCACCCTCTTTTTGTTTATTTTTGTATATATATTTTCTACAGACCTTAAAAATTCTGATGGCCAATTTTTGTATCAAATACATCTGATATATATACACAACACATGATAGAGTTTGCATATAGATGGGATCCTTAGGGATCTCTATCTTTTAGTTGTGGGGATAAAATAAAAGATGTATCTTTTATTTTAAATATACAGGATACAACTTATCCAATTTTTCATTAATTATCTTTTAAACAGATAATATAGAACTTTCACTAATTGCAATAATGTCCATCAACACATTACAATTAAACCCCTAAAAGTAGAGAATTACAAGTGAGGCCCGTTCTTACAATTAATCACAAATTTCCTTCCACCAAACTATATTCCACATGAGCTATTAGGTATGGACAAATTTATCACTATCAAAAGCCCTAACTCATGTAACCGAATTCTAAATTTTTCCTTCTTCTAATTGGACCCTAAAAGCATTTTCCAAAAATAGTATTTTTACAATTATATATGTATAAAATATTTTTATGAAAAAGTAACCGGCCGGTTTTCTTTTGGTCCAATGTTAATAGGAAAAATTGCTTGAATTACTTTCTCACTTTGAGAATGGTGGATTCCATGTTAAGCACCTATATAAATCAATTACCACTCACATAACCCAACATGTCCGTGTATAGCTTTTGATTTGGCGTCACCGATTGACAATGTCAAAGTTAAATGAATAGTTAATTAATTTATACAAGCCTCTCAGGTCAAAGGAAAATAAGTGTATTGTAATAGAACTACCTTTTAAACTAACAGTGATCATTCCATAGGTGTTCTTAAAACTGATCATGTTCAGTGCATGTACTTATTGCATAACACCCACCTATTTGCTTAAGGTCACTACCTTAATGATGGAGTTAATCATTCTATCATATAACAGCAAAACAGGTATAGGCCGTAGTAGTGCGACACCCAATCAACACCCATAGCCTAGAACATTAATTGGGTCTACAAGGCACCAAAAAATCATAACTCTCAGCTTTTGGTTCATTAACCATTAGCATGTTTTTCTACAATGTTACCCAAGGGACCTTATGTTCACATCATATGTAACATTAAATATAACATTACCCATAATAACATACAAAATGCAAAATATAAAATTCCAAGCAATTTATATAATCAATTAATAAAGTCAATAAATTGGTTTTTGAGGGCACAAATGCTAACATTCTCCCACTTGCACTCAAAACCAATTACACATGTATTTAATACCATTCTCTTTTAAATAATTTCAAAATTATCTAAAAGGTATTGTCCCCACGATTTGATCGAAGAGCTTTGATACTTTTTCCAAGTTGCTACGAAATTCCTTGAACTTTTCAAAGAATTCAGACTTATGTTTCATTAGGTATAAATAATCATACTTAGAATAATCATTGGTGAATGTAATGAAATGGTAAAACCACCTCTTGCTATGTGATTTGTTGGACCACAAATATCTGTGTGTATTAATTCTAAAAATTCTGTGGCTGTAATTCCTTTTCCCATAAATGGAATTTTTAGACATTTTTCCTTGCAAGCAGGGCTCAGAAATTGGATAAGGCTCAATTTTTAAAAAAAAACTAAAGGCCCATCCTTGACCAATCTATTTAGACATTCTAAATTGATATGACCGAGTTTCAAGTGCCACATGTAAGTTTGATTAACATCTTTTTTTCTTTTAAGGGGTAACATACCAATGGATATATCATTCTCACCACAATTAATGGAATTATCAATAGGACTAATAAAGTAAAGACCATCTATTAAAATGCCAGAAACCACAAATTTATTATTGTGCTTAACAATAACTTTTGAAGAAAAGGACAAACAATATCCCAACAAAATTAATTTTGAAACAGAAATTAAATTTCTACGGATGTCTGGCACAAATAGACAATCTTCTAAAACTAGAGTTCTATTAAATGATAATTCCAAAATAAAAAAAAAAAATTCCTATGGAAACTGCAGCAGCTGTTGCACTTGTTCCCAACTTTATTAGCATCTCCCCGTCATTAAGTCTTCTGGTCTCCTTGAACACCTTCCGAAGGTTTGTCCTTTTTCAGTGTTGCCAAATAATGACAGCAGTTTCTCTTCCAATGGCCAGGCTTTCCGCAATGGAAACAATTTCCTTTGCTTTTGTTTTTATCTATGCCTTTTTTAAAAACACCTTGTGTTTTTCCGGAGAACTTAGAGCCCATAGATTCTTTATTAAAATTATTCATGCCCTTAGGCTTGAATTTTCTAGGACTTTCCTTCTCACCCATCATCACAGTGGGCTGGCTCTTTTTAATAAGATCCTCTGCTGCTTGCAACATATTGAGCAGCTCTGATGGTGCTACAATCATCTTATTCATATTGTAATTCAAAATAAACTGATTATAAGAATCTGGTAAAGATGAAAGTATCGCATCAATTTTAGTTTCAGCATCAATATCTGCACCCAAAGTTTCCAGTATGTTAATGAAAGATATCATTTTTAGAACATGTTCCCGTACTGGAGTACCTTCCACCATTTTAGTGGACATAAAACCTTTCATTTCTGTTTGGCGTGCACTTCTGCTTTGTTCTCCAAACATTTCTTTCAAGTTAACCATCATGTCTTTTGCAGTAGGAACACCCCCATGCTGCTTTTG